CTGGGGTTAATGGCGTGGGGTGAGAAAGGATTGGGATCACTGGTGTGGGGTGAGAGGGGGTACTGGAGAGACTGGTGTATGGGGAGAGAGTACTAGAGGGGCTGCTGTGTGGGGAGAGGGAGATTGGGGTCACTGGTATTTGGGGAGGGAAGGGATTGGGGTCACTGATGTGGGATGAGAGGGGATACTGGAGAGACTGGTGTATGGGGAAAGGGGGTACTAGAAGAGCTGGTGTGTGAGGGGAGGGGGACTGGAGTCACTGGTGTGTGGGGAAGGGGGCACTGAAGGGATTGATGTGGGGAGAGAGGGGTCTGGGGTCACTGGTGTGGGGTGAAGGGTACTGGAGAGACTGGTGTGTAAGAGGAAGAGTCACTGGTGTATAAAAAAAGGAATGGTGTAAGAGGAACTGATGTGCAGGGAGAGTGGTTTCTAGGTGGACTGGTACATGGGGAGGGGATACTGGGGGCACTGGTGCAGGGGAGTAGGGGTACTGATGTGGGGAGAGGAGGAGTAAGGGTTATTACTGATGTATGGGGAAAGGGGGTACTGGAGGTACTGGTGTGGGGAGAGAGAGGAGTGGTATGGGGGTACTGGTGTGTGAAGAGAGGGGGACTGGGGTCAGTGGTGTTGGAGAGAAAGGATTGGGGTCAGTGGTGTGGGGTGAGAGAGGATTGGGGTCAGTGGTGTGGGGTGAGAAGGGGTACTGGAGAGACTGGTGTATGGGGAGAGGGGGACTGGGGTCACTGGTATGTGGGGAAGAGAAGGGATTGGGATCAGTGGTGTGGGGTGAGAGAGGATTGGGGCAGTGATGTGGGGTGAGAGGGGTACCGGAGAGACTGGTGTGTGGGGAGAGGGGGACTGGGGTAACTGGTGTGTGTAGGGAGAGAAGGGGACTGGGAGGACTGGTATGTGGGGAGGGGGGATTGAGGGGATTGATGTGGGGAGACAGGAACTGGGGTCACTGGTGTGTGGGGAAAGGGGCAGTGGGAGGACTGGTGTGTGTGTGTGGGGAGAGGGAACAGGAGAGACTGTGTGGGGAGAAGGGCAACTGGGGGAACTGGTGGGGAGAGGGAGGTGATGGGGGAACTGTTGTGCGGGGAGAGTGGTTTCTAGGTGGACTGGTATATGGGGAGAGGGGGTACTGGGGGCACTGGTGCAGGGGAGTAGGGGTACTGGTATATGGAAGATACTGTTGTGTAGGGAGAGGGGGACTGGGGTGTGGACAGAGTGGTTTCTAGGGGGATTGGTGTATGGAGAGAGGGGGTACTTGGGGTCACTGGTGTGAGAGGGCCTGTTGGGGGGAGTGGTGTAAGTGGGGAGAGGTTACTGGGGATGCTGTTGTGTGCAGGGACGGGGTCCTGTGTGTACTGGTATACATGAGGTATGTTTGTATGTGTAGGTTTGGGGGAGTTCTTGCAGCAAAAAGAAGTTTTGGGGGTGTTGGAGGGGGTAGGAAGAGCACTGAGAGTGGGTAGAAGTGGGGCAGCTGGGATGTGGCGTGTACCACAAATGTAGAGGTTTTGGCATGGAGTGAGCTGCTCTTCATCACTGGGACCAAAGCGAGTTCCTCATTAATTAAGTCATTGATTGTCTTACCTCCTGGAAACAGCACGTCACACATGGAGTGTAGAGCTGGGCTTCTGGCCTCTCTGTTGGCAGATTTAATAGCTTGTATAAAGGTATGAGCTCACTGGTTTTTTTTTTTCTGATCCTGCGTATGCACAGCGTTAGAGCCAATGGCTGTTCTGCAAAATGTACACATAGATAAAAACAACAGAAACAAAAGCACAGAAAGGTGATTTGCCACAGATTTCAATAAGAAACCAGTGAGGAGCTGAAAACAAACCCTGAATCCCTTCAGTCCCACTTGATGTACGCAGTAGAGTGCAACCCCCCATCTTGGAAATCTTTATTGTAAAGCTTCTTAAATAACTGTGCTCACACAGAGGCAGCAGCAGAACCTGCAGAAAAAAAAGCCACGTACCCAGCTGATGAAACCACAGATAAATTGCTGGTGTCTCAGTGCCACAGGAGGCAAATGCAGTATCAGCTCACCTGCTGCAGGCACACAGCTCCAAGCACATCCCTTCCTTCAGTTCAGGAGCAAATTGCTGATCAGTTTCACAGGATAAGCCACAGCAACCACACTGCAGGAGGTAAGAGCGTGTCACACTGGGGTTATGCATATAAGCAGCACTGCCCTAAATTCTTGCACGCTCTTCTCTGCTTCACACATCTTGGCAGCCAGGACTAAAACCACAGTGTCATGTAATAGACATCTCATGCCTTCCCCTCCTGCTCTGTCCCTTAATTACAGCTTTTTGCATTAGAAATGTAGGAAAAAGAACCCAGGCTGCACTGTTGTCTGCTATTCATCTCCATTTTTTCTTCCCCTGAGAGTAAAGTTCCCCCTTGTGTATTCATGGCCAGAAATAGAAAGCATTTATTGTCCTAATTCCGAATTATTTAGGTAGTTGAGTAAGAGGATTTGGTGCCTGTATGTTTCTTTTGCCCTGGCCCAAAAGAGAAACCAGACCTGCTTCTGCACGGGCAAGGAGTTAAATTTGGATGCTGATTTGAGAAATGCAACTTGACTCCACGCTTCCTGTGTTGCAGGCTCAGAATATTGGCACCTTCATTTTGCTGGCTTTGTCTTCAGCTTGGACTCTGCCATGTGATAGCATCATTAACCTTTTCTCATTTGCATCCAGGTCTGGGAAGGAGGGAGTGTGTGTCAGTTGTCATGTGTGTCCTCCTTCCCCCTTGCACTCTCACAGTCTTCCTCTGAAATTCTTTCCAAAGTGCTGGAGGCAAATTAACAAAGAGATATAGGAAATGGATTAAATGCAAAGACCAAGAAAATAACCCTCACCCTAAACAATCTGCAGGAGCAGATCTGCAAGGAGAACTCCCTCTGAAAGGCAGATCCTGCAGGATTTCTGCCCTTACCCATCAGCCACACTACTGCAGCTGCAGCTCATGCTTTTTTTGGCCATTCACTTTGCAGTTTTGTGGGTGTCCATCAGGGGTTTGGGAGCTGTTAGCTGAGAACACCTGTTTCCTCTTTCCAACCATAGCTGCATCAAGTTTGAAACCAGAAATAAATTTAA